TTGTTCATTTTGTACCCTCTCTGTAGTTGTGTGCTGGACCACACTGAACAATTTAGCTTATTTACAAAGGCAGTAGCAGTAACTCTTTGTCATATAATGGTAACTTTTATCTTCTTTTTGCCTAGTTTCGGTTTAAGATCATGGAAAATTAAATAGTGCTCGACTGGATAGCTCGATGAAGACTTCAACTTGTTTCTTTCTTGATACTGTCGAGGCGAGTACTATGTGCTTTTAAGGGAGATTTATGTACATCAACAGCAACCCTGTTGTTGTAACAACTAGGACGATTCAGAGAGTCAAAAGGGTAGAAATAATTGATGAATATAAGATTGAAGTGGATGGTAAAGCTGGAAATTTCTGTCAGTTTTAATTGTTATCTGATGCTGTACAGCCTTTTATGATCCATTAAATCATCACATGAAGAAAAACAGTGAAAAGTGATGACTCAGAAAGAAAGCAAAAGGAGAAAGGAAAAGAAAATCCAAAAAAAATAGTAAAGTGAAGGGTGAAATAAAAGGGTATTCTTTTATGCCATTAAAGTCTACTTTAGTGGACTCTTTTGTCTTGGGGGGGTTAAGGGCCACATACTCACATGGGGTCTGACACTGGTTGAATGGTATCAGGGTACCAAAAAACACTCCTTTCACTTTCTAGCCTTTTGCTTGTTCCAGATTTAAATTTATATATATGTTTGGCCTTTTGTTTTATGGGTTCTTGTGCCCCTTGTGTTCTTGTATGCTTTTTGATAATTTACTTACTTTACTTGGCTCATGTGCTTTTTTTTTTTTGCTTCTTGCCCTCTAACCCAGTAGTAAATTTTGTCTTTTACCCACATTTATGGATTTCTAAGGTGATTTGTTTATGTGTTTATAGTGTTCCAATGAGTCAGCCATAAATATGGATTTTTATGGTGATTTTTTATGTGTTTGTAGTGTTCCAATGAGTCATAAATAATTGCTTCCATATTCTGATTAAGTCCCTGTTTGGTTCGGATTAAAATCTGATTTTAATTCAAGTCAAAATCAAACAATCAATATTAACCATATCTTTCATGAGTTTTATAACTTTTGAACCGCAGAGTTCAAAATTTTTTATCACAATCTACTAAAAATTTAATTTTAATCTTCACGAAACACCCTTTAAGAAACATAGTTGCGTATTTTTGCATTGTTTGAATTACTAGAAATTAATTCTAACCTTCTCAGTATCTTGATTACTGTCTGAAACTTGACAAAAATAAAAAGTAGTACGTTAATTGGAAAATAAGTAAAAATCTACAGAAAAGGTAAGTTTTGAGCTAAATGAATGTTCAAGAAAAAAGTAATTTCTAAAAAAGTTGAAACTTGACAAAAATAAAAAGTAGTACGTTAATTGGAAAATAAGTAAAAATCTACAGAAAAGGTAAGTTTTGTGCTAAATGAATGTTCAAGAAAAAAGTTATTTCTAAAAAAGTTGAAACATGTTTTGCCATGGCCTTGCATTTACTATTTTCTGGTTGTATCTTTAGGGCAGCACGTGAACTCAACCTTTATAATGCCTATTCCATAATGACTTTTGTCATATAACATCGGGAGAAAAAGAATGACGTCGAGCGATTTCAATTTTTATTTTTTTGGCAAATAATTTTTATTTTTTCGACGTACGATTTCTTAAACAAAATTTAACATTATAATCTCTAAATATTTTCGGCGTACGATTTCTTGAAGCGATTTCAATTTTTTTTTTTTTTTTGCAAATAATTTTTTGAAGTTTTCTATAGCTAAACGAGTACTCGAGTTATCTTATTTTTTTGGCAGCATTTGGTTCTTTTTTAAAATTTTTTATTTTATTTTTTATCCTAAAAATCATGTTCTTAATTTTGAGGGGTTGCTCAATTGGTTAGATTTTGAGTTTGCTCTTCAATGATTACCAGTTCGAGTCCCTTTAAGGTCACTGAGCCGAGTACCCGATTGTAAACTTCAGGGTCTCGTGAAATTAGTTGAGGTACGTGCAAGTTGATCCGAATATTCACGGTTATAAAAAAAAAATCATGTTCTTTAAACTTTTCATTTCAGAAAAGGTCAGGACTTGTAGCGTAATAATTTTTAAATATTTTTATGTGATAAAGAGGGCAACTTGACAATATTATATTTAATTAAGAGCATAACATGCTAATTATTGTTAATTATGGATTAGCAGTAGTTGCATGGTCAGCACATGGAATTTGGTTCAGATGTTAATAGAAATTAATTTTCTTTAAACATGTCCAAAATCCTAATCATTATAAAGTTAGGGTTTGCAGGAAATGAGGTATTTGTATATGATACATGTTCTCCATTATTGAAAATAATTTTATATGTCAAGGGCAAAAAGAAACTTAAATAAGTTTAATCTTACAAAAAAAAAAAAAAACTTAAAAATGACTACATTAATATTTATGTTAATAGCACATTATGTGAAGTGAATAATGGAGCACTAATCATTAATTGTGCAATTAAATATCTTTGAAGTCTACTTTTTTTTCTTGAATTTTATATAATGCTATTCATCCCCACTGTACTTAGCACCAGCCCGTGTGTCAATTAGATGACATTAAATAATAGACTTATTTAAATACAAGGTCAAATGATCCATTTATTTAGGAGAAATGCTATTAATCCCCACTGGGGATGCATCCCCAATTTATGTGGCGTTAATGCGACACTAAATAATATGTGAAATTAAATAAGTCATTTAATTTCACCTATCATTTAACCAATAATTTACATCCACGTAGACTGGGGATTAATAATATTTTTCTTTATTTAGACGTATCAAGAATGGTCACTTAAATTTGTGATAGATAACATTATTTCTATAAGAATATTTTCAAGAGACTCTATTTTTAAAGAATATATTCTATCATTTAGAGAGTCTATAAATTTAGAGAGTTCAAAATTTGTAATATTCCAATAAATTCTTTATATTTAACAATTAATTTTATTACTCTCAAAAAGTATTTATTATTTTTGTTTATCTTTTATTTTAATTAGTTTATCTTTAGACTATTTTATTGTTTTTCCACATTGAAAATTGAAATATTTCGAATGCATTTAATTTGGAGAGCCAAGCTCACTCTCTAAATTCAAAATGTTAATTTAAAGAGTCTCTTGGAGCATGATTTTAAGTACCGATTTTTTAAAATAGAGTGTTTTTTATATTTAAAAAGTCTCTTGGAGATGCTCTAAAATAATAATAATGAGATGGAGAAAAATTATTCTTTAAAGGGCTTTTTATTTTTTATTTTTTTTTATCAATTGATTATAACGAAAATGCGATGGATACCGAGTACCTCTAGAATTATCTTAGTGAAAATGATACAAATGATGGAATAGTCTATGTCCATTAAATATCGTAATTTTAAATAATTTTTTTCATTAAACAAAAGAGAATATACGAAATGTGGATGTTGAATTTTATGAAGACAGAAAAACAACTTTAAATGCATGTTTTTCAAAGACTAAGATTTGAATTTGAATTTGAAAAATAGAAAATAATGGTGTCTATTATGACTTTCGTATTTACTAAAGATCGTATTCTACTAATTTTCATTGAAACTCTATATATATAATTCATTATTATATAAATTATAAATTTGTCTTTTTCTATCTTATTTTAAAATGCCAATTTACTACACGTTATAAATTGGTCGTTTAATCCCAATCGTATCAAGTAATATCTTTTTAGAATTTAAACAAAATTTGAATTTTAAATTTCAAACTCTCTCTCCACCAACTATTAGTCGTCCAAGGCTTTTCTTTGTACTAAAATGTTATGTTATGGCCCATTAATTTTAGTCAAAGCTCTAAATGAAAAATATAAGGGAAAATCACATAAATTCAGGTGTTTAAAAATTGCTTTTTAAAACTTAGATCTAAAGTTTATTTATTCAAAAATCAAGAATTATATTAAAACCCTAATTAATAACTCTAATTTATCACTCTCTACTCCCTCCCCACTCTCTCGTGCCTCCCTTCCTTTTCCCTTTCAAACCTAGGCAATCGGCGATAGAGCTACTCAGGCTGACACCACAACACAAGACCCGTCGTCGCCGACGTTGTAGATTGAGTAGAAGAGAGAAGGGGTGATGGTGTGCAGAGGCGGCGGGAACATTTTTTTTTCTTAGTTTAATTTCTTCGCACAGATCTGTGGAGTTGTGATTTGTGGTGGTCGATGGCGAAGGTTTTGGTGTGGTTCGTGATCGTTGCTATGACAACAGCGATGGTGAGGTGCGGTAAAGTGGTGTTGTGACGGGGGCGATGATGTTGGTGGTGCTATGTAGGCGACGACGGTGGTGGTTTGGGTGGTGGTGTGTTGTTGGTGTTATTGTTGATGGTGGTTGTGGCGGCGACGGCGGTGTAGATGGGACAAAGAGTGTCTGTGACCAACTATTTGGTCGACTTGTGACCAAATAGTGGCGGTGGATTAGGTTCGAGACGGATGTTTGAGTGTATGTGACCAACTATTTGATTATCTGTGACTAACTATTAAACCGTGATATTAAAATTCAATAATCTATGACTAAAATTATAATCTGTGACCAACAAATTTGAAAATATGTGATCGATACATAAACTGTGATCTATAATTTTTTAATTTGTGACCAAATAAAAATTTGTGACTTTTAAATTTTTTGATCCGTGACCAATGATGTAAATTGTGACCTATTATATTTAAATAATAATTATTTTTAATTAATTAACTAAATACCTGAGTTTTCCTTTTTTGAAACTTGAAACCTAATTTTTGCATTGGTGAAACTTAAAATCTGATTTGTGAGCTCTTCCATAAATATAAAGCTTCAAATAGGGAATACAAAAGCTGTAAATGCTTAAATTCTTTTAATTTTTTTAATAGCCTGTTTGGGCTGGGCCTCATGGGCCTACATAAGTGGACCAACTATGATCCACCATTCCAGCATTTTTCCAATCCCATCAACAGAAAATTATTACACTAAAAAAAAAGGACTTGAGGTAATTGCTTCAAGAAGAACCAGAAATACCTGCATGCAATGCCACCAAAGAGGCATAAAGACCGTCATTATTTTTTATCAAAGTTTCGTGTTTTCCTTTTTCTGCAATAACTCCATTCTTCACAACTGCAATCAAATCTGCATTCTTAATTGTAGATAGCCTATGAGCCACCACTATGGTGGTTCTGTCCACCATAACTTGATCTAAAGCATCTTGAACGACTTTCTCGGATTCAGCATCAAGAGCGCTGGTCGCTTCATCAAGTAGCAATATCTTTGGTGCCTTCACTATAGCGCGAGCAATTGCAACTCGCTGCTTCTGCCCACCAGATAGCTGGATACCCCGTTCACCCACCATTGTGTCGTACCCCTGTGTTTTCAAAGCTATGTGCATTAGATTGTCACAATGACTACAAGATTCGGCTCATAGAATACATACCTGCTGTAAACCACTGATGAACTTGTGAGCATTTGCTAACTCTGCAGCAGCTATAATTTCTGCCTCTGTGGCATTCCCTTCCTTGCCATATGCAATGTTGGCCCTGATTGTGTCATTAAATAACGTGGGTTCCTGGCTTACAAGACCCATCTGCTGCCTTAACCATAGCAGCTTTAGCTTGTGAATTTCAACACCGTCTAGTGTAATCACGCCTGAATTTGGATCATAAAATCTTTGCAATAAGGAAACGACTGTCGACTTTCCACTCCCACTTTCTCCAACAAGTGCAACAGTCTGATAAATAAACTTGATATTGTTAGTGTTGAAATACTATAATTTAGTGTTCCAAGAACTCGAATGATTGTAATTTACCTGGCCTGATTGAATTGTCAGGCACAAATCTTTAAAAATTTGGACATCAGGTCTACTTGGATACTTAAAACTGACATGCTGAAACTCGATATCTCCCTTGACATTCCCTAAGATAGTTCCTGAATTATCAGTAGTGTCTATTTTTGATTGCTGGTCAAGAAGTGCAAATATAGAAGCAGCACCACTCTTGGCTTTACCAGAATCTGGTGCAAGGGCACCCGATTGAGATATTGCAACAGCCATCATACTTAGACCATAGAAAACCTGTCGAGCAGCACAATTTTTTTTCCATTGTAACAACTGATCATCCTTACCGAAAAACAGGAAAATAATTTACGATATACAAGTAGTCGCGTAAAAGCTTACTTGAAAAACCTCACCAAAGGTTATCTTTCCAGCCTCAACAAGTTGAGCACCAGCATAGAAACTAGTTGCATATACTGAATATAGAAAGAACAAGGACATTCCATAACCTGCTCCACTGAGTAAACCATGTTTAATTCCTGATTTCACTGGAACTTCGCACTTCTTTTTGTACAGTTCCATTACCTTCTCTTCAGCACAAAAAGAAGCAACAGTTCTAATACTTCCAACTGCATCACTGGCAACTTGAGTTGCATCTTCATAAAGTATCTGTATAAAATTTAGATTTACTTAATTGAGCATATTAGCATTAGGAAACTGATTGATTCAAAGACTTCAACTTTTTGCCACAATAGTTAGTTTGGAGTTGAACAATCACCATCTCAAGTACCAAATGTTTCTCAATTTTAGAGTCCTCTTACTCCAGTCAGTGTATGAAGTGTGAAAAATGATTGAAACCGACATTGAGGAAAATTTAACAATTTTCATTTATTTAACAGACTGTATAGAAGGCGGGCCTTAGCCCAAAAGCAAGGATGGTCTGCTGTTGAGGGTTGGAGCCCTGGGAAACAGTCTCCCCTTTTTCTACAGGGTATAGATATTTTAGATCTTACCGGTTTCATGAGTAGAAGAAATGTATAGATGATATGTGATTTACATGTATCATCAATCCATAAAACGCACACAAGTCAAAGTTGCTGCTTAATAAATTATTCTTTCTGTTACGCCTCATATTATAAGGTTCCAGAAATCCTACATGGCAAGCAATCCTGGGGCCTCACACTCCAGTCGAACTGACATGAGGCAGTTTGACCGAACCCTGTGAATAGGCCCAGCCAACGTGCAGATGCCGAACCCATTGGATCGTGTCGACCTCCATCGAAAGAACCGAACTTGCATCATGGGGAAACCGCTAAAGGAGCTCGACACAAAATCTTCCAGACAATCCATAGTATGTGATTGATGTGACAATCCAATGCTGTCGCCGTCCTTCCCAACCAATCAGGTTAAGTCTAGAGCCGCAAGTTAGGTATTATGGATAATAAAATTATATTAGCATTTAATGCTCATGATTGATTGATGGCTATGATAAGAGGCCCTAACCACTAAGATGAGGCCACATGTCCCTTCATCTAACGACTTTTAATCATCATCTTCTATTATAAAAACTCACACTTAGTGTCATTCAAAAGGTAATGCAAGTATAGACTCTCAAGTTATAACTTAACTCTTTCACAATTTAAATATATCCCTAAACCCCCTTTTACATTGGAGGCTCACATTTAAAACCCTCTCACATTCATATACTCGTCATTTCAACTGATTTGATCGTCAGAGTGCATGTGGCTGACTCTACTACCATCAGAGGAAGCCACGTGTGGCTAATGATTTGTCCAAATGTGCATGAACTAGGCTTGCGTGGACGTAAGAGGCCTTCAGATCTGTTGACCACGTTGGAGATACAAAATTTAGAGTCAACACTTTCCATGATAATGTCAATGAGATTGAATAAAATTATGGAGATCGTCGAAAATTGAATAAGATTTCGGAGATCGTCAAAGATTAAGACTATTATAGATAGATTGTTTTTACCATTAATTAGTATTGTAATTGATTGCTACCATATTTATTTGTTATTCTAGTTTCTATATAATGAGAGAATCTCTCACATAGATGGGCATCGAGTCTTTTATTGAATATATTTGACATGGTATCAAAGTCGTTCTGTTCCTAAACAAATTAACCCTTGAATTTCGTTTCCGACAGGAGGCCTTGTGCTGCTCGCCTGGCCAATTTTTTTCGAATAAATACGATCATTTTTTGCAGTTTTACAAGTCAATACATATCTCCACCTAAACAAATTAACCTTGTTCATCTCGTTTTCGGATGCTCGCCTAGCCAATTTTTTTCCCTAGAAGAGGAAAAAAGCAAATCCTCGGCCCTAGCAGTTTCATCAGCAGAATCAAATTCTTCCAGCTCCGTTAGCTTCTTCGTAGTTCACAAACAAAGGCTTCGATTATAACTAGTAGAGCGACTGCAATTGGGGATCAGTGGTGGTGTTTGCAGTGGTAATTTTCTAGCGTTTGGTGGGTGTGAATCTACACGATGGTGGCGGTAGAAGTGCTATGTTACTCTGGTTTTTCCTACGGTTTCTGTTAGAGGTAGATGATGTGGTAGTCGCAGCCGGCGACTTTGGGTTCAAGTAAGACAGAAGATGAATGTTGAGGGTTGAGTCGGGTTGATGGCTCTGCTGTATTGGACCGAAGTTGTGGGCGTTTCTTTAAGTATTAATTGGGTTTCTGGTTTGAAAGTTTGGGCCATAAGTCTGATTTTTCAAAGTTGGACCTCTTAGTTTGTAGCTTAGTTTTTTTTTTTTTAAGTGTTAGTCTTACTATTAGGGTAAAATATTTGGGCTAATTATTAGCTTGTAGTAAGTATATTGGACAGCAATATTTGTTCTCAGTTTGGGCCACTTTATTAGTGCTTTGGACAATCTTGTGGTCTGATTATTTGTGTTGAAGTACTGTTGAGCTACTTTATTAAAAGTTCTGGGAGATTAGTTGACATTTTGTTGAAAATAGTGTGTAATGGGCTTGGGTAACATGATGTTAATGGACTTTTGGATAAGTGGGCTAATTTTGGGTTGAAATTTGTTTGGGCTCGCAATCTGATTTTTTTTCTTTTTTTGTTGGCTGATAATGTTTGGGCAGAGATATTAACATTTTTTTGGATTGGACTTTGATTTTTTTTCCCTTTATATGGTGCTTCGTGAGTATAGAGAGACATGTGAGTGCAGATCATCACGTTTTGGTTGCTCAGGCGATCAGCTCAAGTTTAGTCTGTTTTATGGGATTTCTTCCACCTATAGCATCTGGAGTTTTGATTTGTGTTTTGGCGTTAGAGCTTTTGTTGGAACATAAATTATGTTTTCAGCTAAGTTCTCCCGACAGATAAAGCTCACTGTATGTGTCGACACACTTCGTGAATTTCTTTTGGAAATTTCTTTTGGGGAGTGTGAGTTCTCGTAATATTTTTGGAGTGTTCTTGGAGTATTTTGGAGTAGTTCTTTATTGTTTCTGCATTATTTGTTGTTCTTGGTCTCTCGTCGTCACTAATTTTCGTAGTTGGTTGCTTTGATTTGGATTTCTTCTTACTGGGCACAAGTATGTCACCGTCGCTAGTCATGATTGCAAATTGATGATTTTGCCAACATCAATTTGAGGAGGATGTCAATGAGATTGAATAAGATTATGGAGATCGTGGAAAATTGAATAAAATTTCGAAGATCGTCAAAGATTACGACTATTATAGATAGATTGTTTTTACCATTAATTAATATTGTAATTGATTGCTACCATATTTAGTTGTTATTTTGGTTTCTATATAATGAGAGAATCTCTCATATAGAGGGGCATCGAGTGTTTTATTGAGTATATTTGACAGCTAAAAGTTCCTAAATTATCTGTGAAAGATGACCTATAACCATCTAACCTCTTTCTTCTGTCCTTAATTCAGAATAACAAACTTGTATTACCATCAGAATTAAGCAGGAAATTTATCTCCGTCGCACAAAAGTTTGGAGCCATTTGATTCATTAAGATGAGAGAGAGTGGAGGAGGAATGGTTGAGGCTTTAGTCTAGTGAGCTAACCTTTGTGTCGCCACTAAATCCACCTATAAACTTCATCTGAAGATATCCATTTAGTCCAATAAGAGGCACCATGATCATGATTATAAGGGATAATTGCCAGCTTGCCCCAAAACCAATGATCAAACCAGCAATAGCTGTTGCAATATTTTGAACAAGCAATGCAAGTGATTCTCCAACTAGATTTCTCACTGAAGTCACATCGAGAGCAAGTCGAGAGCAAATTGCACCACTTGAGTTCTCAATTTTGTCAAACCAGCTTATTTCCATGTGAACCACCTTTTCAAAGCACATCAATCGGATTCGTTTAATTAACTTACACCCTGCCACAGAAAAGAAGTATGTCCTTAATGGGGTTGCCAAAAGAGATGCTACACCAAGAACAATAAACATCAATGCCCAAAACTTGGAATCCTTGTGAAGCTCATGTGGTGGCTGATAGAAAGTTTTGATTACGCTGGAAAACAGGAGCCCGAAAAGCGGTAATATTGCACCATTGACCACCGCAGCTAAAGAACCAAATAGCAATTCTGGAATCTCTGGTTTATTCAGGTAGGCCAGGCGGTAAAATAAGACTTTATACAGCACCTTTGATTTTGACGAAGCAGGAGTATGTGGTTCTCCATCTGCTGCCTCCAGCACATTGACAGTGGTGGGCACACTCATTGAAACGGAGAATGAGTGACGGCTACTCTCTCCAGTTCTCGATGATCCCCGACTTATGGACCGTGAGGAAATACGCTGACTCAACTGCCTTCCAGAATCCACATTAATCTCAGCTCTGTCTTTATCATCTCCAGCATTTTGTACCGACTCTTTGTTCAGCTCTTGCAACTGTATAAGCTGGCTGTATGCTCCTTCAGGATCTTGTACTAGTTCAGAATGTGAACCTGATCAAGTCAAATAAAATTTAAGTGCATCTATTTCTTTGTAGAAGGATAGAAAATCCATTTAGTGACATATTATTGTTACAGCAAACCAATCGAATGTAAAAATTTGAACCTTTTTCTATGATCTTTCCTTGATGAATAACAGCAATGGTGTCTGCATTCTTCACTGTACTCAAGCGATGTGCAACAATAAGGGTAGTTCGGTTGATCATGACCCTGTCCAGTGCCTCCTGCACAGTCCTTTCAGATTCTGCATCAAGAGCACTTGTAGCTTCGTCTAAAAGTAAAATACTAGGGTCTTTTAGTATTGCTCTAGCTATAGCTATTCTCTGCTTTTGCCCACCAGATAGCTGAGTTCCATTTACGCCTACCATTGTATCTAGTCCCTGGAGACAAGAAATTTGCAAATATGTATGAAAGGTAGCTTCCTTGGAAGGTTGATGATGATACCAATTAGTGAAGGACACGAGAAAGGCTTTATTTGGTAATATATGCAGTTCTGCACAATAACCCATGTTTCATTTTCTGTTGGAATGTAGTCTTTTCTATATAAATAACTAGGGCATGCTTGGGAGTTCCGACGTATCGGATATGAGCGTTTTTTATAAGCATTTTTTAAAAATACCAATTTTGAACATTTATGAACGGATGGGAGTTGTTTTAATAACGGTTTTTAAAACAGTCCAATCCATGCTCGGAAGTTTATTATCCACCAATTTTGAAAGTTTTTTGAGCAAGCAAAGTTACATATATGTTTCTTAGTGAAATTTTGAGTATGGTTTCTTGTATGAAATTTTTTACTTATTAGTGATATTTTACTTATATGTAATTTTTTTAACATATAAGTTAATATTTAACTTAAAAATTTAAATAAAGTTAGATATTTACTTCAAAACATATGTTAGCATTTCTTAGCTATATATAAACATTATAATTATAAGTTAATTTTGTCCTTTTAAATAATTTTTACACATAAGCGAATTTTTTACTTATAAGTAACTATTTATATTTTATAAGTGATTTTTTGTCTTATTAGTAAGATTTTTACACAAAAAATATTTTTTTATCTTGTAAGTAATATTCTACTTATAAGTAATTTGATAATTATAATATAATTTTTTTGCTTATAAATAATTTTCTTAGTTAGTATACTTTTATTTATAAATTAATGTTAAACAAAATATGTTTGTTGAAAATAATTATTTTATAAAGGATTAAGGTAAAAGAGAATTTGAGAAACGGTCAAAAACCACCAATTTGGTGGGTTGAGAGAACCGGTCAGTACATCGTTTTTTGGTGTTTTTTAAACCATCCAAAATCGGTACCCAAAAATTTAGCGAGCATCGGTTCTTCCAACCCCTTATAAACGGTGCCACAAAAAACCGGTCAAAACCGGTGAAATTAAAACTCCCAAGCAGGCCCTAAAGGATTTGAGCTGTGCTGAGTCTTGAAAGTAGATTTTTTTCCCTTGAAAATCCTTAATTGAAGATATAGTGCACACACTAAATTAGTATTATAAACAATCAAATAAATGTAGAGCCAGACCTGCGGTAGCTTATCTATGAATTTAGCCGCATTGGCATATTCAGCAGCGGCTTTGATTTCTTCTATGGATGCACCATCCTTTCCATAGGCAATATTGTCTTTGATGCTTGAAGTAAACAAAATAGGTTCCTGGTTGACGAGGCCAATCTTTCCTCTGATCCACCTAAGCTGAAATTCTTTGATATTGATACCATCAATCAAAACTGCACCTGATTGTGGGTCATAAAACCTCTCGATAAGGCTTATTACTGTAGATTTTCCACTTCCACTTTGTCCGACCAAAGCTAATGTTGTTCCACTAGGTATAATGAGTGAAAATCCATCAAATATTTGCTCATCTGGTCTAGCTGGATAACTAAAATGGACATTCCTTAATTCTATATCAGCAGTAATATCATCCAATTCCCTTCCATTTGTGCTATAAGGATCTATATCTGGTTTTCTATGTATTGTCTGAAACATTTTAAAAGCAGCAACCTGACCAGCAGCAAATGCACTCAAGCACGGAGATACCTGCCCTAAAGAACTAGAAGAAGAACACATGCAATGAAACTTTATTGTCAGTATTTATATGTGGATTTATACATGAAAACATATTTAAAAGTCTAACATGCATGTGTAGTTCTCATACCCGTTAATGATCTGTACAAATTAATGTTAATAAGTAAACAACAAAAGCTTTGTCCAAAAAAAATCTACAAAACAAATGAAGTGTAAAAGAAGAACTCACAAGGATCCCGTCAATATAGACATTATAATATTCAAGACATCTCCTCCGGTGTACCCCTTCTCTATAATCATTTTTGCGCCAAACCAAATTGCTAAAGCATAACTACAAAACAACACTAGCATAAATATACCAGAACCTAATCCAGCAGCAAATCCCTCCAATACACCAGCTTGATAAGCTTTATTTAGAGATTTATCATATTTAGCAATAGCTTGACTCTCCCCTGTGAATGATGCAACCTGAAAGTGAAACCAAGTCATTGTTAAGTATACAAATGCAAATACAGTGAAGAATAATTTAAAATTTTGTCCATTGTATTGTCAACCCTGTCCAGTCCTATGTACCAAGCACACACTAAATGTTAAACTATTCATTCTTTATTACAGTTCTGATTGAGCCAATTGTCTGTTCAACCACACCAGCTGCAACTGAATAGGCGGCTTGTCCGCGGGATCTTAGCTTTGCCATAACAACAGTCATGAAAGCAGCAGAGATAACGAGAAGAGGAATTGAAGACAGCAAGACCAGAGTGAGAAGCCACCCCTTGATAAAAGCTATTACAAACCCTCCAAAGAATGAAGAAGAGAGCTGTAAAAATTTTCCTACCTGTGGTTTTACATCAAAAAGAAAAACTTGAATAGCACAAAATACAAATTAAATAAGGTCCATAATTTTATTTTCAAGTCCTTTAGTCATAACTATACCTTCTCACCCATGGCATCTTGAATGATAACTGTATCACTAGCCAGCCTCTCAATAATTTCTCCAGTGCCAGTTTCATTGTCAAAATATCCAATATCTTGCCCCAATATGGCTCTCAGGTATAAATTCCTAACTCGAGAGGCCTGCCTTTCCCCGGTGACAGTCCAGCAGGTCACCTCTGCCAAGAAGCAAATGTGGGATTTCCAAGTTTTCTTAGTCAAAATGATTATCTATATTCCAATAAAATTACTAAAAGTCTACGCACTTACGAGCAAATGCTGCAATACCAGACCCCAAAGCAAGATACACAAAATTTAGGGATACCTAAGATGTCTTACACGTCAGCATGGATTCCATAGCACAAAGTCAAATCATTAATTCACTTTCTTTCATGGCATATTACATGATACCTTGGAAACATCCTCGGCAACGTCTTTAGCTCCCACGTTCTGTCCAAAAGAGTCAGCCAACTGTCCAAATATTAGAGTCATGAGAGGCAAGCAAACTCCACTACCAACACCCGTTATCATACCAATGACCATTAATACATGGTCGACGGGGTCTGCAAAGGAGAACAGCTTGTAGTATGGAACTTTTCCAATTACTTCAATCTGCTTTTTGCTGTCATCTGAAGTTTGTGGCCTGCTAGACTCATCTGGGGTTTCAGATGCCTCATTTTTCTCATCATTTATATCTTCAGCAATATGGTGAAGCCCCGTCATCACACAATTGAAGTACTATTTTCCAATTATCAACGGTTTCAACCTTAAAAAGCCAGAGAAGCAAGAGAAAGTGTCGAAAAAGTACATCAGCAAACAAATCGCCAAAGAATAACATTACAAAATTTTGGATTATGCAAGAGTGCTTGCAAAAGCAGGCAAGAAGCAGATATTTTTTGGGAACTCACTTTAGATAGAAATCAATGTTAAATGATTATCCAAAGTGTTTCATTAGTAGCTCTTCCGGAAATTAATAAAATATTTATGACAAAATAAAGGAAATTAAATATTTTCTATTTTCTGCAAAGTAGTCATGGAGGAACATAGCAAAGACATCAGAATCAGAAACTGGATGTAAAAGATAAAAAATATTAAAAAGATGTTAAAAGGAAAGACACATCGGTCTTCTTTTGTTTTCAGACATTTAGGTTCATAATTTTCAATCTATGCAAGAATATTGAATGGCAAGATTTACATTAAAAAATCATAGGTTATGAATGGTGAGAAGGAATATAACAGACGAGCAATGATATTTTCAACGAAAAGTTCTTGGTTCTTAAATCTAAAACCAGATCATATGATTTTATATTATGCATGAGGAAACTGAAAATTTCAAGGTCAACACTAAAGCATGTTTTGCAGGTGGGAAGCAGATATGCAGCAGGAACTTTGGTTTGGAATGGTTTGCACTTCTTCCAGGAGAGTGCATTAAACATCACTCTTGTTCCAACATGAGGATTACATGCAACAGAAATTGACATATTTAAAAGAACTTGATTAGACTTCACAGGAAACTCCAAGTATGCTTATCTACCAAAAATAAAGGTAATGAACAATAACCTTCGGTTTTAGAAGTATAAGAAGAAGCTAAAAACCAGGGTTTATCGGTGTATTTGGTTGTGGAGAAAATGAAATGGCTAAACAAAGGTTTTTTTCAGTGTATAATAGATTGTTAGTTGGAACTTTGCATCATGTATTATCAGAATATTGTTAACCTTCGGTTGTGAAAGGTTGTCTTCCTCAGAGCATATGAGTTATGTATATATACAAAAGAAAAGTGGTGTTTAGTAAACAACTTTTCTTTAAAATAAATTGCAGAAAATCAAGCTCAGTCCTTCCTGACTATGCCTTTATGCATTCTTTTTTGTTTTTGACTACGATTTGATGATACCCAATCAGCATTGAACATACTAAATTAATAAAAATCAAGGACATATGCTCTCTTAATAAATAATAAATCTTTGTTCAGGGAACTGTTACAACCATTCTCTGGAAGCTGTCTTTGTAGCTCCAGCATGAACTACTTTGGACTAACTAAAGCAGAACAATACAACATTGCCTATATAATTGAGTACGAAAATACCTAACTAATAAACATTGACACGAGCACTGACGGCAGCAAGAACAAGCCAGCCGGTAAATGTGGACAGGAAAAAGAACTGAAATTTTTTCTGATGATCATTAGTTCCAGTTTACTAATGACCCTCCGCTTATTTCTGAGAATTTTTCTCATTATTTGAACGTGTGGAGCCTATCATACTATTTCACTTATCTCCTTGACTGGCATAGCAGAAAGGTTTACCAGACACAGGGGTATATTAAGTACTCCATACATGTATTAGGTCACTCTAATATTCTTATCGTATATACAATACATATAATATATATTAAGGAGAGGCTGTCGAGGGACAACAGAGGTGTGAGATCCTATGTACACTTATTCTTCGTCATTGTAGTAAGCTGCAGCCACAAGAATCGACCTCTATAAATCTGTGTATTCTTTACTTTCTCAACTCCCAATTTTCAGTTTAATTACAATGAAACACAATCTTGATCATGTTTTTATATTACAATTTGATAGCCCCTACTCACATGGGCACTAAGGTGGGTACCTGACCATAAACTTCAGGCTTCGTGGGATTAGTCAAGGTGCGCTCAAACTAGTCCGGACTCCCACGGTTATCAAAAAATAAAAATAAAAAAATAGCCCCTACTACTAATTCTTCTCTTGGAGGGGGGGACCTCTTTTGGGTCAAAATACAGGACACTGCTCAAGGCAATCACGTTAGCCTAAAGGGATCTGATACCTCAGCCTATATATGAGACGAGTATAAGATTCGAAGCAAATGCAAATAAAGAATAAAGACAATTCATATATTTAATTATAGATTTGGTACAATAATCATATAAAAATATAAAAAAAGTTTGATTCTTCCCTGTGGTCCTGTGTGAAATCACGCCTCCTCTGGTTGGCATTTCATATTCAAATCTCCATTGGAGCTTGCAATTTGCTTCTTCTTCCCTACAAGAACCTGATTCTTAACTTAATTCCTCATCTATATACCTGGAGAATATTGTTCAATTGGAAAAAACTAATCGCGGATGAATTTTATTTTTCTATTATGTTTGATTTGAAATAAAAAATTGTTCAATTGAAGAAAATTCATTTGTTCGAATGTCGTCGCGGGTAATCAATCCAATGTATCTTTGCATCATCCTTTGAATACTTGAAAATTTGATTGAGACTTTTGCAATGAATTAGAGCAAAATATTAATATATTTTAAATCGTTCGAAAGTGACGTATTATAATTCAAATTTTAGTTAAAATAATAATGGAGTAAGAATGTCAATTTAAATTCAAACTAATTTAATTTGTTTGAAAGTGAAGTGTTATATTTAATTATAAATTTTAATTTTAGCTTAAAATAATTTAGGAGTGAGAATATTAAGGGCCTGTTCGATATAGTTTAAAATCCAATTAAAATTGAAAATATAGCAATTATTGGGTCCCACTCGTATAATAAAAGTCAACAATAACGGCTAGTTTTTCAATTTTAATCCAATTTTAATCTCTACCGAACACGTCCTAAAATTCAAAATAAATTTTTGGAAAGTGAAGTTTTATATATTGTCAATCGTATAATATTACAAGTAATGTGTGACCTTTATTCTATTATTCATATATACAAATAATACTATCAGTCGTGTATTGTTTAACATCATTATATGTGGTAGTGGAGACACGCATCGATTTGTTTAATGAATCCAGATGCATCTTAACTTTATAAATATTTTTAGGAGGACCTTCAATGTCGTCTAACCGTCCACCTACAATTAATGTCAAACGAACCCTTAGTCTTTAAATATACGCAACACATGTAATTATTAATACCCGAGAGTCCAGGCTGCTCTCATTCATCAAAGCATTACACTCTCTATAGAAGAAGTGACACTAAAGCAACTATTACGATGGATTGTCTCTCAGGTATGACAATCTGGTGCTAACAACAAGGTACTTGATAAACCAATTGTCATCACTTGAGATTTTGGTTTGGTGGTCGAGTGATTGGGGAGTAGTTGCAAGCCACCTAAGACCCACGTTAAAGACCACCGATTGACTATTAATATCAATAATCAAAGCGATCGTCAAGAACAACGTTGAACTAATCATCACAAATTTGAGCCATTTTATAAATTAAAATTTAATCTTTATAAAATGTGATAAAAGATATCGAAACAAGTAATAATCACGATTACATTCGATCCATTTATAAAGATCAAGATTATCTTTATTGTTATTAAGGGGATCAAATTTATATATATTAGGGTTTTTCAATGAATTTTTTTTTAGGTGATACTATATTACCACCGTCCATTAAATTCCTTATTCGTTATCCATTAAAGTGCAAATAATTATGCCTTTACATTATGTTGCTTCTTTTTACAATTTTTCTTAAAGGAAAAAAAAATTATATATTCAAATAATAAGTGTGGGCCATGTTTGGCAATAGTAAACTCCTGAACGTGGATTTCGGGCAACGTGCCCCATCACGAGGAGGTTGCCTCAAATCAAGGTTAACTTTATTTGATAAAATTAATTGGGAGAGATGGGTGATTATTTGAAGTGGGAAATGATTTTTACGAGAATGTATGCTAAAACGTAAGGGAAAATCATGAGTATATGTATAAATTTATTTTATTGTAAAAATATATTTAAAAATAAGTTTAAGGAAAAACGATTTGCGAAAGTAGAATTCCTTCCTTCTTCCAAATTTTTTACGATTGATTTATTTAAAAAAAAAATAGTCATATTTTCAATAGACTTTGATGAAATGTATTGTTGAAAACTTGATAAAAATTGTAGATCATATGATGTGTTGTCAAAATATGTTTTAGAAAAAATGTTTTTTAGAAATGGGGACTTATTTAAAATCGAGAGTATCAATTTTCAAGATAACAAACCAACTTTAATTTGAGGAATTCAGACTCCAGTTCGATGTAATATCTCGGACGAAGATTTGTTGTCGTCCCTTTGAACTCAGCCAACACTTAGTCTCGACGGGAGAAAATAATGTGGTTTAATCAATTAGTTGAGCAAATTTTTCATTGGTTAAAAATAATTGAATCCTACAAGTGAAAATAAAAATTAATTTTTTTTCCTTTTTTAATGTCGTCTATCATATATCAATGCAAAAATCCTAAACTAGTGACATTTTTATTATTATAAAACAAATATCAGGGTATTAATTTGTCGACAATTATTAATGATTAAAATTTGCCTCTCATTTTGTTAGAATAAGTATTTGAGAACTCTCAACACATTATATGCAACATTAATCTAATCTGACAAAATTGTTCACTAATTCAAAAAGGAAAATAACATTTTGACGATGTTCTAATATTCAATCATGAGATGTTTGAGGAACTTTTGCAGATTGAGTAAAACACCAAAACAGATTAATATCAGCTCACAAGTGAATATGTGTAACAAAAAGGATAATATTAACTATTATTAGTACAATGACATTAAAGCACACATGGGCAGCGCCCTCGTGGGGTTCGGGGGCAACACCCAGGGGGGTTGACCTGACCAGAGTCCCTCCTGGGGGCTCGAGGGCAACGCCCTCGAAAGGAATTCTGATTTTCATGTATGGAATGAAGTTGTGTTTTTTAGTGAGGTTAGAAAATGTGATAAGATGCTTTATCATTTTTACATATTGAA